AATGGAACTTTATCACGCCTACTTATGTCAACCATCGTCGGCCACATGAAGGAAGGACAATACCAATTTGAGAGCATAGCTCTGCTTCATCCCCAGTGGTGATGCTTCTACCATTCATATCCTTCCAAGTGGATGTACTGCATGAAGATTGTGTGGTTCATTTACCCGTACAGTTTATGCTTCTGGAGATCGTTACAACAGAATTAACATAATGAAAAATGCTGCAAATCCTTCTGCACATCAACAAGACATTCTCTTCAGAGCAGGTTCTGTTCTACGACTCCGACAACACCATGGGCATATGTATATAAATGCCGAGTATTCTTGAAAAGGTGAGCGTTTCCTGCCCAGCGGGTGGCACACGTCAAGATTACCATTCACGTCAAGTGTTCACCTGAACATACACGCGAACACATGGTACAACCCAAAAATTGGATTTACAGTGGGAAAGAGTTTGGGCACGATTATCTTAAATTTGAAAATGTTACCACATATCTACCATGAAACAGCCTTGAATGTCGAACCACTGATCAAACACCCTTTTAGCCAGTCATACTGACACGCTTCAAAAGTTATGTAGAAATGACAAGCTGCTCAAAGTGTTGTTACGTTACACAACCATAGCCTGGAGGCTGCTGGAGTATAATGTGACTGCCGATTGTCAGTGATACGGTAAGGGATTATGTGTTAAAACTGAATCTGTTTTACGATTATGTGAATAAAATCTCACGCATGCATTAATATCCAACTGTTTCAGCCAGGTGGTGGCAGATTTCTGTCTGTTGACAACAAGTATGTGTACTGGTAGATGATGGTAAAGGGTAAAGCAAGGAAGAACGTTCAGACTACATGTATACGTGTAAGTCAACTGCACATAGCGATCTTCACACGCCAGCTAATTCTGCGTGTGAAACAATTGCCTGTTTGTGTAAACATCCTCTAACCTTGTACATCTTCATTATTGTGTAAATACCAATCAACCGTTCACACTTTACTCATGAATATATCAGTCGTAAGCCAATGTAGTATAGAGTTACGAAAGGTCGTAAAGTCGAACGCTTTGTAGATAGGGTCCCTGTATAACAGACTAGCAGGATAACAGCCAAGATACGTGCCATGCTGTAGGAACAGACACACATCAATAGTGGACAATTATATACTAGCCACATAAAGAAACTGTGCATTGTCAAAATATTATCCCAGTGGATAAGTACGATAACAATGTAAAAGGTACATACATTGTATAAACTTTAATGGAGGGATGATGAGACCATAACAAGTCGGGAGAATTTCAATTGAAAAGTCAATCACAATGACGTCACGAGTCCACAAGCGGGACAGGGGTCAAACGACCATGTCACAAGCTCAATAACGGGTATGTCCACCATCGGCATTGAGAACGGCAGTGCATCGACGACGCATACAGCCCCCTATCAAACGTGCAAGGAAGGCTTGTGGGATGTCACGCCAGATTCTCTCAAGTTCTGTTGCAAGGTCAAGGACGTTATCTGGCGGATGAGGAAGACGGCGTAGACGTCGATCCATCTCGTCCCAAACATGCTCTATCGGGGAGAGATCCGGTGAATGTGCAGGCCAAGGCAGTAAGTCAACGTTGTGGTGTTGCAAGAAATCCATAGCAACCCTTGCAGTATGAGGGCGCGAAGAATCTGATCCCTGTAGCCTACACCAGTTAAGTTGCCCTGAACAAGCACCAAAGGAGTTGTTTGGCGTGCTGTTATTCCACCCCAAATCATCACGGAACCACCACCAAAGCGATTCCTCTCCAAGACACAGGCCTGTGCATAACGTTCTCCCACGCGTCTATAGGCACGTTGACGTCCATCACTATGGGAAATGTTAAACCTGGACTCATCTGTAAAAAACAACATTTCTCCACCAAAACAAGGGTCTGCGGACATGATTTCGGCACCACATTCGGCGAGCTTGTCGATGACGTTGTGTCAGGATAGGCCGTATGGCTGGACGTCGTGGTCTGATCCCGTGATGACGTAAACGTTGTCGAACTGTGTTGGGGTGGATACGGTGAAGTCCTGGGATGGTTCGGGCAGTCATCACTGCAGTCTGAAACCTGTGGCGAAGATGGGTCACCCTTATCCATCTGTCCTGTCTTGGCGTTGTTACACGTGGACGTCCAGAACGTGGCCGATCGATGACGTCATTTGTGTTCTGGTAGCGTCTCACCAGTGCAGAAATGGTGTTCCGGTGGCAGTGGAAATGTGCAGCCACTTGTCGTTGAGACATTCCCCCCACGGACCATCCCAATGGCCTCATGACGTTGTGCAGACGTGAGCCTTGGCATGCTATGCGTTTCAATAGCCGTTTAAGTTTTTGAACGATCGCAAGGGCAGGGGTTGAGCTTTCCAAAGTGACATTATTGTGTGGCATTCATTTGCTCTGTTTCTCTTTCCCGGAATGCACGTGCAACAACGTATTGCACGTCTCAAGGACGAACCCACTAACGTCACGGAACGTGGCACGTGCATGCATGTTGGATACATGTCACTAATCTCTGAATTTAAATCCTTATGTGTCTACACAGGTTTGATAAATTTAGATTTTAAATTTTTTGTATGCACAGTTTTTCAGTACTTCTAACTGTTATTTCAATACCAGCAAAATGACGTTCTTAGCTTTATTCTGCGCGTTGGATGTTTCACATTCCTGCCAATATATCTGTAGATATTCTTAGATGTGTAACAAAAGTTTAGTACAATTGTCATGTGTTTGGTACGATTACCTTTTGTCTGTGTTTAGACAGACTACGATTGTCTTTATGCCATTGTCTCAGTATAATTACTATTTTAAGGAAAGGTACATATGTTATATACTGTATATTACACTTTCCGGATGTCATTGTCTATTCATTGTTTCGGCCGTGTGAGCTGTGTCAATGTGCACCTGTCAGAGGGGTACATATGTACACTGTACGTGATCCTTGTGTGCTGGCAATTAGGTGCCTGACTCTGAGAGTGCGGGTTCGAATCCCGGAAGGGACAAACCTAACAAAAGTACTAGGATCTGTACATTACAGAGAAAGTGTAAATTGAAATATAACATGTGTTACATCTGACCACTTTCTAAAAAACATTATGTATTCATGTTTTAGGAACGTTAATAAGGAACCAATAATGCTTCTAAATTGGCTACGTAATACATGACAGACCTCTGACCAGGGCCTAGATTTTCGAAGCTCTCTTAGCTCTAAGATAGTCGTAAGTGCCATACATTAACATTACCTTACGACTATCTTAGCGCTAAGAGAGCTTCGAAAATCTAGGCCCAGGTCATGAAGTAGTGATATATTCTTCATTAAAATGACAAAAGATATATTTTTGACAAATACGGCGTTCCACATTAACTTGCTACACATCGATAAACTATTTCAGCTGTTTAATTTCAAATTAAACTAATGACAACACCATAGTACAGAGTAAATACGATGATAGCAGGCAATTCTTTTTTGTAATGTCTTCAGAATGATGAACAAGGCGTATCTGATGTAATATTATTTTTAATCTCGCATCGTGATACAGAACATGCAAGTGCGTCATACAGGGCAAACCATGTTAGGATACCACATGCGGCAAGGAAGAGAATGGTTACTTTTACACTCAAGAAAACTTATGTGAGAACAGTCGTTTAAAAGTTCGTAAACTAAACTTCCTTTCCATATCTTTCATATTGACAATAGTGCTCACATACAAAGCATAAGTGAGGTTGACTTAAAAAATGCACATTAAGACAAACATCAAATATTGGCTTGATCCAGTGGTTGTCTGTTTTGAGTTGGGTGATTCACATCCAAGTCTGTGGAATCAGGTATTGCAAGCAGAGAAAGTCCTTGTTGCCCTTCTGAAAGGTAAAATACCACACGTGTTTAATATTGGTTATGGTTGCCGCTCAGTATCAACATCGAGAGTTTAATCTTTCATCGTATTGTTCTTCCACCCAAGAGTTGTTCAGCTTGACCTGATCAAGTGAATACTAATGATCTTCGTGTTGCGTCGACCGTGTCACAACTCTGGTTGGGTCTATTATTGTGACCTGATCAAGGGGCATTGCGTGCCTTCACAAGTGTTCAGCCTTTGTCAGCTGATTGTCAACACGTCCGAACAGCCGAGACAAGGTCGCCGTTTGACATATCAGTGTCGAGAAATCGCCAGCAATGTACTAACTTTCTTTAAAAAAGAAAGCTACAGATGGTTTAATGTTTCCTATTCGGGCTTTTAGGCAGCGAGCAGCAGCAGCAACTGGAGTTTCCAGTGCAACCCTGGGCCGAATAGAACTGGGTGGAGAGAGTGATAGCGAGAGTGAATCGGACTGTGAAAGTAATCGGATTGTGACGTACCGTTTAAAGTTAGTAAACCAAACTAGATAGCATATGACTGTAAAAACAATTTAATTAAAACATGAAATGATTGTTTTTTCAGAATTGTTGTTTTCCGGGACAAGTTCTGTAACGAATCCATGTATGTATGTTTCGCACGAACGCAACCATAACAACATCCTCTGCTCCCCTATTTAATGAAGTTAACTCGACCAGATATTTTGTTGAAAATGTCTTCATTTGACCTCCAAACTTGATTCCGTCCTCGATGGTCCGGAATGTTGAGTGTTTCCGGTAGGAGTAGCTCAGGTCAAGCTGAACAACATCAGCCAACAAACTTGCCCTTTGAAATGAGTATTCTCAAAAGTATGGTATTGAAATGCGTTCATATTCATATTTTTTGTTCGTCCGTACTGTTCATCTAAAATATGAGTATGTACTCTAGTTTAGACACTCGACGTAGATCTATGCTCATGTTGTTGATCACTGGATGGCGTGGTCCCAACTCTATCATTTACAGACCGCCGCCATATAGCTGGAATCTTGCCCAGTGCGGCGTTAAACAACAAACCAACCAACTAGTAACTCGATCATGAGCGAAATTTAATACATATTTTTACGTGGATAGCAGATATCTGTTTTCAAAACATACCCAGTCTGCTATATACGGTGCTATCATGCCTCCCAGTCGGGCCAAGGAGGAACTTGCTCCGGCTGCAGAGTGGCGAATGACGGTTGGGAAGAGTTCTGAGGAGAAGATGTAGATGATAGCAAAGCCTGCTGCTGCCCCAAGCTTTCCGATCATAGCGAGCAGAACTGTGACCCACTGTAATGCTGCAATGCAACACTCTTCCTATACAGCATATGTTATACTTGGGATTACACTTTCTTAGTAATACACACACCAATACACATTTCTCGTTTACTTGGTGACACAATTAAGTTCCAGACATGAACTATGGTGAGGAAGAATAATCCAAGCATATGATAAGGATCTTCAGGACATACTCCTCGAATAACAAAGGACAGAATAAGGCTCGGTGTTCAATGCTAAAATAGGAGAAGAAGCGTTCCTTGACAATGAATAAGGGTAAGGGTTTGACAGAGAAAGAAGCAAAGTCATGTTTACGTACACTGGTCAGCATATAGGATGGTGAAGATGGTAAGGATACAAGACACTCCTCCTAGCAACATAGAACCACAGTGCAAGATCTTCCTCCCCAGTCTGTTGAGCAGTAGCAGGACAAGAGCACAGGCCGGCAATTCCACCAGCCCCACCAGCAGGAAGTTGAGGTGGAGGCTGCCTGCCCCAAGGTTGTCCGAGTTGAGGGACAGGCCATAGTACACCATGCTGACCACCATCCTTGATGAAAGGTTCAAACATACATTTCATAGTTCCCTACTTAAAGTATACTTCTGTTAATGCCAGTTCCAACTGAAGGTATCTCGTTCCTGTTCACCTACCAACATTTGTATATTAGCATAACCATTAACGCGAACTTAAATATGAACGCCACTCAATATTTCCCTTTTGATTTTCCAGAGAAGATGTGTTTGAAATGGAAAGGACAACAGAAGCACAATAACTGCACAATGGCTGTAAAATGTATTATTTGTAATGAAAGAGCAGTAGTATTATAATATGAAAATGAATTCCACAATGCCACGTTACCAGTTAAAGAATATAATAAGAGTTCGTATACACATGACTGTGGTGGTGAAGAGCTGAAAGAAGCTGCCCTTGGGCGTGTCAATAGTTTCGTCTTCTGCCTTCTCTGGTTGTTCAAAGAAATTGTCAGGTAGCTTTACTTTGTTCACATTCGCTGCACGGCGTATGATCACTTCCGCTTCCTGATAACGGGACTCGTTCATCAGCCATCTTGGAGATTCAGGAATGAGCCTGCAATAAAGATCAATACTTTTTTATAGAAAATCAAATACGGAACATGATCCGACCCTTCATGTGTCCAACTGCAAACTCTCGTTTAGCATATGAAAGGAAGAAAGAATCATCTGGTTCATTTATAGAACGGAACAGTGAATACAAGGTATACATTTATTGGCTGTAGGAAATTTATATATTCATTCTTTTCGGGAGACGATCCAATTTCTACAAGATTTCCACAGAATTTCATCTATAATAAGATTGGCTGATTTGCAGAATCGAATCGTTGTGATATATTGAACACTAGGAAATGTATTTCAATTCACACACTGGCTAAATAACAACCATCTGTATATTTCAATGCAAACGTTGTTTCTGTATACGGTGTCTTATGTATCACGAATTGGATATATTTAGTTTAGAAGTTGTTGCAAACTCAACCTTTGCTGATACAACTATCAGCATAATATTCAGCACTGACCACCAGTATACGAGGAAGATGCCCACAGGGACCGCCATGGCTAGCTCCAGGGTATGCCAGTCTCGGATGAAGTAGGCAACTCCCGACAGGATCGTCATACCAAGGGCAAAGAATACTGGGATAAATACCCCCGTAAAGACACGCTTCGAGGGACCTACCACCTCCATACCTATAAATGTAGTGAAACAAATTTGAGTTTGGCATTTCAAAATCTTTCTTAGCAAAATATCAATACTATTACTTGTTCCACATTTAATTCATATTTCGACGACATAAGTAACATATCTTTTGTATTGATACCATTTGGCTGTCATTTTTTATGCTGAAAGCATACGCGGCAGTGATAGGTAATGTTGGGGCATTGCTATATGAAATATTACTGGTTGGTGTCGTTAAATCGGATTAATAAAGATTGTAATGGCAATCTTAAGTAGGTTTTTAGCATTCCTGGAAGGAATCGAAGATACAGCCAAGCTGGTACACTGGTAACTTTTGTAACCGGACACGCCATTACAGAGTCAAGCGTATGAGTCTATTCAGATAATTTGATCACTTTATCATTTACCAATTACGAAAGAGGTGGAATAGACCCCGGTTGATGAGGCACCGTTGATAAAGCGGAGGATGACGAACATGACGAAGTTGCTGGACCAGTTCAGGATGATGCCGCCAGCAGTTAGGAGCACAATACACAGATATAGAGCCTTCTTCCGACCGAGTCTAGCAAACCGCAAAGAAATGTGATACTTGCACTGAGTCTGATTGATGCACCAAATTTCAATATTTCCTTCTTTAAGGATTGTGGACATCATGTGATTGTTTGAGAAAAGTAGAATAGTTTCATATTAAGAGACCTGAGAACTAAGATGTGGACAAGAAACGTGGCTTCGTGAGCAACATTAATATGTACAAATAGACGATATATCAGAATTGCAAATCCTATTTTCGGAAACACACACACACACGATTTATATGTTTACAACTTTATTGAAAATGTTCATCATTTTGGACTAAAGATTTTATGGACTCACTTGTCTCCAAGGGTTCCAGCAGCAAAAGCCCCAAAGAAGCATCCAAACATGTAGATCATCTTACAATGAGTTGCGAGTATGGCGTCGTCACACACAAAACTAAACTGAATGAAGTGAGTGAGAGAGTTTAGTTTTACGCCGCATTCACCAATATTCTAGCGGTCTGTAAATAATCGAGTCTGGACCAGACATTCCAGTGACCAAAAGCATGAACATCGATCTATGCAATTGGGATACGATGACATGTGTCAACCAAGTCAGCAAGCCTAACCACCCGATCTCGTTAGTCGCCTCTTACAACAAGCATGGGTTACTGAAAATCAATTCTAACCGGATCTTCACGGGTCAAAACGGAACGGAACAGTGACAATTTCAAAGCATCATCAATAAATGTGAGTCAAGGCAGATCAGTTTAATCATGTTAAATGATTTTTGAAAAATATACTTTTAAGAGTTGCATAAAAGGCTCATAATTTGTGGCTTAGAACATGAACGTTTACCTCCATTGAAGCAGTGAACTCGAACACTGACTTGTCATACACCCACTTCTTACAGCCGAGGACTGCACGATTGGCGCTAACATTGGTGATATCATAATTGTCAGAGTAGATGTGACAACGATCAAGCTGCTGTTTGCCGTCCCTCATGATGTAGGGGATGGTAGCGTTGATAAGGTGGGCGTGGCTGTCAGACTGGACATCGTAGGTGTCGTTGTCATAGCCGGGAATGGCGCACCTGTAGTACATGATCACAATGCATAGTGTCTACATTTAACCTCTGTTCAGCGTCGTTTCTTATTGAAACACCATGGAGATACGAATGTCATTAAACCCAAAGATACTAGACAACACAAACCAAAGGCAGTTGGACGTTTACAAGGATTTAACAGTTTAAGAAGTTTTGAGATCTGAATCTTGATCTTGAACCGAGATATAAATTTCTCTATCAGTCTCATCGTCTCTGGCGGTCTCTGAACACAGTCCGCTGATGTTTAACAAATCAAATGATCAGAATCATAGTGGTTGTCATACAAAGTGTCTTGAAGAATAACTCCTGTCTCCTGTGCAGCAAGTAAAGTTCTTTTGCCACCGGTGTTGTTTGCTCAAAGCATATCGGGACCGTGGAACTGGACATAAAATTCAACCTGTTTATTAGTTTAGCACAGACTAAGTGCACTATCTGTCTCATACATGTATTTGGGGCGATGGTGATATATTTTCGGGGCGGTGGGGTAGGCTAGGGGTCAAAGCGTTCGCTCGTCACGCCGAAGACCCTAGTTCAATTCCCTATCTGGGTACAACGTGTGAACCCCATTTCTGGTGTCCCCCGCCGCGATTTTGTTGGATTATTGCTAATAGCGGCGCAAAGCTCTCTCACACTCATATTTAGTTCATAGCATGTTTGGTTAAAAAGATCTAGCGGGGCGGTAGGGTAGCCCAGTAGTTAACATTTGCGCTCGTCACCCCGAAGAGCCGGGTTCGATTTTCCACATGGCTACAATAACGTTGTAAGATATGTCTAAAAGCTTCGTAAAACCTAACACACGCACTGATTCAAGTTCAGTTGCAGTAGACATGGGTACGCTGCTTGTTGAGTGGACAATGTAGTTATAAGAAATAGTTTCTATAAGATCAATTATGTTTCAAGACATACTACAGCCCTTTGGTAGGTATTTTGATTCGAAATTCGAATTATAAATGCTGTTATAATACTAATTTCTTCAAGTTGTATAAAACATCATATTTAAAAAAAACAGCACAAGTTGCATAAATACCTCCGATGTAATTGAGTGACTATACATTCAAGTACAACATTAACATGGTGATACCATTTAACAAACATTTCAAGGCCATTGAATTAAACTTCCTGTTGGCCAACACACATTTATATGGTGATATTATTTAGCATACATTTCAAGGCCATTGAATTAAACTTGCTGTTGACCAACACACACAAATATGGTGATAATATTTAACATACATTTCAAGGCCATTGAATTAAACTTGCTGTTGGCCAACACACATTAATATGGTGATAATATTTAACATACATTTCAAGGCCATTGAATTAAACTTGCTGTTGGCCAACACACATTAATATGGTGATACTATTTAGCATACATTTCAAGGCCATTGAATTAAACTTGCTGTTGGCCAACACACATTAATATGGTGATACTATTTTATATACATTTCAAGGCCATTGAATTAAACTTGCTGTTGGCCAACACACATTAATATGGTGATACTATTTAGCATACATTTCAAGGCCATTGAATTAAACTTGCTGTTGGCCAACACACATTAATATGGTGATACTATTTAACATACATTTCAAGGCCATTGAATTAAACTTGCTGTTGGCCAACACACATTAATATGGTGATACTATTTAGCATACATTTCAAGGCCATTGAATTAAACTTGCTGTTGGCCAACACACATTAATATGGTGATACTATTTAACATACATTTCAAGGCCATTGAATTAAACTTGCTGTTGGCCAACACACATTAATATGGTGATACTATTTAGCATACATTTCAAGGCCATTGAATTAAACTTGCTGTTGGCCAACACACATTAATATGGTGATACTATTTAGCATACATTTCAAGGCCATTGAATTAAACTTGCTGTTGGCCAACACACATTAATATGGTGATACTATTTAGCATACATTTCAAGGCCATTGAATTAAACTTGCTGTTGGCCAACACACATTAATATGGTGATACTATTTAGCATACATTTCAAGGCCATTGAATTAAACTTGCTGTTGGCCAACACACATTAATATGGTGATACTTATTTAACATACATTTCAAGGCCATTGAATTAAACTTGCTGTTGGCCAACACACACATTAATATGGTGATACTATTTAACATACATTTCAAGGCCATTGAATTAAACTTGCTGTTGGCCAACACACATTAATATGGTGATACTATTTAGCATACATTTCAAGGCCATTGAATTAAACTTGTTGTTGGCCATACACACATTAATATGGTGATACATATTTAACATACATTTCAAGGCCATTGAATTAAACTTGCTGTTGGCCAACACACATTAATATGGTGATACTATTTAGCATACATTTCAAGGCCATTGAATTAAACTTGCTGTTGGCCAACACACATTAATATGGTGATACTATTTAACATACATTTCAAGGCCATTGAATTAAACTTGCTGTTGGCCAACACACATTAATATGGTGATACTATTTAACATACATTTCAAGGCCATTGAATTAAACTTGCTGTTGGCCAACACACATTAATATGGTGATACTATTTAGCATACATTTCAAGGCCATTGAATTAAACTTGCTGTTTGCCAACACACCTGTGTTCTGGAACGTTGAGAAGAAACACACTGATCATCATCCTGACACCATAGCTGAGTCCAGGCAGACAGAGAAGAAAACACATCCATTTCTGATAGCGTCCAAACTCCCCCAGGTGCCGCAGTACATCATCAAAGTTGAGTCTCATCTTCTTTATCTTGAATCCCGCTTCGCCTTTCCACAGTTACTCTATCCACTGCATTTCGCGGATAAATAAAAGAGATTGTTTCGTACTATGGCCTTCTTTTATGGCCACCCGTGTATCAACACTACTGACTGGTTGGTATTAATGACCGATAAGCTCAATGTTTGTATTAAAAGACTTTACCATGTAACTATCTGAGTCCCTGGCCAAACTTCGAAAATCCGGAGATTAAATATGACGCATCGAGTAAGAAATAACGTCCCGCCGTGGCCCAGCATGTGATTTCAACGTACATAATATGTATAAATGACAATCACGGAGAGACATGCTTTGAATGTATCTCGATCCAAATAGGGGTCATAAATACGATTACACTATTACTCGTGCGAAAGGGCCACAGATTGGTAATTAGGATGTGAGGGCACACACATTCACGATCCTCAGTCATCTCACAAGTATGGGTTAATGAAGATCACTTTTAACCCGGATCTTCAGGGGTCGAGTTGACTATTGAAAAGTTGAAGTCATATCCCTTGTCTGGCTTGTGGAGTGTTTTTTCTCTCTCGTGTTTCATTCTGAATATTTATGCATAGATTTTAATGTGAAAACAACGAGTCGTGTCTGTTGAGTTGCTGAAGATCTGTTCCAAGCCGGATCTTCATGGGTCGCGTTGACTATTGAAAAGTTGAACTCATACCTCTTGTCTGTCTTGTGGAGTGTTCTTTTCTCTCCTTTTCACATTCTGAATCTTTTTTTTTTCAATATTTTTTACAGGCAAACATTATAGGATCACACCAGAAGGCAGCAGACAGCACATTGTGATTCATCTGAGGTACATGATATGTAAACATGTACACAGTATTATAAGTTAATATATATCTGTCCTAACAACAAGTGTAACGTTGACCAGAAATTAATTTGTTTTTGTTCATTATCATTTGATAAATGGAGACATTTGGTAGCATCATAATATTTAATTACTTCTTTTTGAATAAAATTGATATTAGGCAACAGCACATTTAAATATATATTTTTTGTTTAGAAGGATGATGACATTTATAGGATTATTATTTTAACCTTTAATTCCAAGCAAACCCTTTTCAAACGTAAATCTTTCTGATAGTTGAACAGTATGAAGCCATTGTGTTACTTCATTCCATAGTTTCTTTACATCCTCACATTTCCAAAAGACAGACAGACCGACAGACAGACAGACAGACTTTCTGTCTGTCTGTCATTTCCAAAAGAGGTGATCAGTAGTTTCTAGATTTTTTTTATGAGGGAGCAAAGTGGTATGTATTTTATCTTATAAAGAAAAAAATTTGAAGGTAAACTGCTGTGGATAATCCTGTATTGTAACCACCTTATTTCAGTACTTTAGTACATTTGTTTGGAATAATGTTATAAATCATCCATTCTATGTCAGTGCAACATCTGTCTAAAACACGTTTCCATTTGGAATAGCATGGTCGCATGATGAAGGATGAGTTCAAAAGAGTATCATAGAAATGTTTATTTCCCGCAGAATTATTTAATGATTGGTAATTAAAGGGAAGGATGGGATTTTCGTGGGGTTTGTGCGCGTATGATCTTATTGTTGCTTTGATTCCTTCAAAAGTTAGAAAATTGGTGTGTATTTGATATTTTTTTTCGAAAATTCTTCGAATGATAATAACCTACCATCCGCATGTATAATAAGCTACCTTCCGCATGTATAATAAGCTACCTTCCGCATGTATATTATCGTTAACAAAAACTACACCTTTAGTCTTCCAGTTTTCATAAACTATCGGTTTGTCATCAATAGTTATGTTGGAATTCTGAATCTTTATGCATAGATTTTAATGAGAAAACAACCAGTCGTGTCTGTTTTATATCTTGCTTTCTAATTCAGTGGAAGTGAATTGGCATTTTGATTATCATTGAATGATGTCTGGTCATCGCTATACCTGAAGCTTCAGCTTAACGTCTAGGTCAGTTCATATGCATGAAGAAACAGATCAGTTACATAGGAATATCTACTTCATGACTAAATGTCTCATCACCAAATATCATTTGGATGTTTAAATGAGGAAGTCAAATATTGCACATATTGTTTTCTCATATGATGTTTACGATATTTCAAAAACCTTGTATGAAATGCGAGAAATACAGGAAAAACAACGACTGTTCAATACAAAACAAATATATTTGCGTAAATCACCCATACACACAATCATATTACTTAAATGGGAATCGTCAAAAAATTAGAATGTTTCACAACATTAATTAAAAAACACCAAGGACAGACATAGTGTAAAAATATACAAATGTTTGGCTCAAAGCTGTATCTAACAAACATAAGCATGGGTAGTTAGGTCCCGGTAGTTATTGTGTGTGACGAGGCATACTGCGTGACACGATGACCTGACTGTGTCGATCGTTGCTGGTAGGGCCTCTTCTTTAGACTTCTATTTGACCACAATATATCTCGAATATTGTTGATATTCATACGCTCAATTAGTTAAATGGTGTGAAAACAGAAAATCAATAGTGGATTATAAACATAATTGTATCATTTTGTATATATATGCTTACAACTTGTTTCTTATGATGCGAGTGGATTAATCTGACGTCTTATGTACCACGTCTATCTACCAGACTTATGCTATGTAACACAGTGAACATTAAGAATACTGAGTCAAACATCAGCTCATCATAAGATACACCATTTATACATTTATGTATTTATCTTCAAAGCTCGTACTCATTAAATGCTTTTTACCATAATCATGTGTTACATTACAATGTGTTTCGCTATTATAGTTGCAAAGAGCAACAGCGAGGTATATTATAAGTTGTTCACTGGTTACGAGGGGGCATGGGTTGATGTACCTTCGATGTTTGTTTATGTTCCCTGAGCCCTTCCCTGAAGGATTGATGTTCCCTCGATGTTTGTTTATCTTCCCTGAGCCCCGAGGGACCAGTGAACAACGTATTTATCTTACGAACACCTTAATGTAAATTTTGAATTGTTTGAAGCACGGGTACAAATATTTTTGTAGCCATCGCTAGATTTTGCTAAAGAAAAACAGATTTAGAGTTATCTCCCTTCCATCGATTTGCATTCGCAAAACATCGGTAATTTCCGTACATCATACGTGATTCAATGTTATTCGAGATAAAGAATTACTACCACGAAGTACAGAATGAGTTGCCATTGACAGCGGGGTACATTGAAATGTACCTCGCTTGTAAGCGGGGTACATTGAAAATAATAGAAGGGCGCTCAGCCAGTCAGAAAGCGACATTTATGTGTGAGGTAAGATAATTGCATATATCATCATTCATGTATTTTCTCATGTTTCCTTCAAAGTCACGACGACACTACAGGAGTAGACACACAACATGGAATGTATCGCCACACTGAGACAGACACACCGTGCATTGACGGCATACAGCTGTGGTGTTAACATGCACAAATAACAAAACTTTGATGACTTCAGTTGCCAGAAAATGGACAAATACACCTTCCAGGACAATACTTCCACTTGTTTCGGGAAGAATGTTAATAAAGCTTCAGGAGTCATCCAAACAAATGCATAAGGTAACACACATACAAATGCGTCTCTTGTGTTGTCGCAATGGTTCTAAAAATGCTGCCTTCAAATATACCTCATAGTACGTGTTCCCAAAATATCATATATTGAAATTAAATTCAATATGTATATAATAATTTTATTACAGAGCTGGATCAGACACTTTCCAATTTGTTTAAATGGGTGAGTGAATTTAGTTTAACGTCGCTTTTAGCAATATTCCAGCAATATCACAGCGGGGGACAGCAGAAATGGGCTTCACAGATTGTACCCATGGGGAATCGAACCCGGGTCTTCGGCGTGACGAGCGAACGCTTTATCCACTAGGCTACCCCACCGCCGCGTATTCTATGAAGAACGTATGAATGATGTCTCTCTCAATGAAAATGATACTCAATACTCGAGACTCCTGTATTTGTCTGTAAAGCCAATATAGTTTACACTTCCTAAAGCACCCATGAAGAACCGGGTCTTCAGCAACCAAATCTTGTCTTAAGAGGCAACTAACGGGATCGGGTGGTCACACTCACTGACGTGGTTGGCACATGTCATCGTATCCCAGTTGCGTAGATCGATGATCATGATGCTGATCACTGGATTGTCTGGACTCGATTATTTACAGGCCGCCGTCATATAGCTGGCGTCAAACGACAAACAAATCTTCCTAAATATTCTACGTTTTGGACTTCTCTGTAAGCACTAAAATGATAAAACCGACTACAAATTTCCATACACAAGAAATTGTTGTACGAATCCAACATAAGCGTCTGTTGAGGTTATAACAGATGGTGTAATCATTAATTTCATGTATTTGAACCACTCAGCAAAATTGCAAGGTTGCATGTGAACACGGACTATGGGGCTGCTAGAAATGTCACGGATGGGACACTAACAGTGAATGAGGAAGTCATACCACGGTATGTAAGTAGGTTATTACATTAGAAATGGCCAGAAATAGGTTAACAAATATTTTTTAAAAACACATCCATAAACCTAAGTTTTATGTAAGTAACACATTAGAAATCCAACACATCCATAAACCTTAAGTCATATCACGGTATGTAAGTAGGTTATTACATTAGAAATGGCCAGAAATAGGTTAACAAATATTTTTAAAAACACATCCATAAACCTTAAGTCATATCACGGTATGTAAGTAGGTTATTACATTAGGAATGGCCAGAAATAGGTTAACAACTAATTTTAAAAACACATCCATAAACCTGAATAATGCAAGATGGGGCATAATTCTGATCATCATTTGCTTAGAAAAAGTCAACACTATTGTACGGAAGCCTTTTAGGCCCATTCAGTTTTCTGTATTTCTTTTCTGGAAATTTCAAGCTGCTATCTTGAAATTTCAAGATGCTAAGTATAAATTTCAAGATGATAAGTTTGAATTTCATGATACATATAAAGTTGAAATTTCAACACAATGATCTTGAAATTTCAAAACGATAAGTTGAAATTTTAAATTACGATCTTTAAATTTCATGATAATAAGTTGATATTTCAAGAAAAAACACCGAATGGCCGTAAAAGGTTTCCGTACTATTGCGATTCATTCATCTTTGTGTACGTACGTCGCCTCATTTCTACAACCAGTCCCTCAGACTGATAACTCACAACCATTAACACAGACGGATGGCAGGGGACCTCAGCTCGCCAACTCGAAATGTTTAGGCCTCTCATTGCCGTGAAGGCACAGCGTTTCTCATCCTAGTACAATATTTCATTATAGGAAATATTAGTTGCAATCGTGTTTCGAGTAATTCTTATTTTCAATGGTTATCACAGCCACGATGAATTACTTATTGTTTGAATTATTAATTAAAACAGAATTAGTGATGACAATGGACAGGTGAAACAGGTAAGACACTAAACCGACACTACGGTCAAGCAGTGACGGGAGCTGATAGCTTTCTGTATATAGGCGACTGGTTCTCCTCGTGGTCTGTGGTTTCACGCAGTGATAGCAATGGCAAACCTCGTTGTTTCTCTGCAGAAAATAATATATGAAAAAATGAAGAAAACATATAACTTTGGTTGTTGCATTTTCGAGATAAATATCATTTTGAACTGTATTTTCTAGTAATACTTAAGTTTATCAATGGTCAATATATATTAAAAATACCTCATGCCAAAACAAAACCTTACCGAACGGTATCACTGCTTCACTGTCCGATGTTAACTTAATGCTTTTTAAGTCTTTAAGAGCGGCGAGATTATGTTCATTCAACATTTGTCAAATTCTTTTTAGAAAGTCACTGCCTTTTCTATCCATTGTTTCCTTCTTTCACTTTCACAGATTAACGCTCTGAAATAGGCGCAACATACCTTCGTCATGTGTGGACCCATGGTGGGCGGGTTCTCTGTAAATATCAGGCATAAGTAATTACTCATTTTTAGGAAAACAGTTAGGTTTTCGTTCGTTTGCATAAATATGTTTCAAAATATTTGTATTTACCACCACGGGAATCAGTAAAGCAGCATTTCAGAAAATTGATTAAGGAAAGATTTTATCAAAGGTATTCAAAGTAAGAAAGAAATACCAGTGAAGTGGGGAGCACAAAGCATTTATTACCCGTGAGGGTCCGGGGTAGAAAGTGTCCTGTGAAAACCATACTTGGCACAAGGGACGACTGTGTTTGTCGTAGGACGCGACTAACGGGATCGGGTTGTGTGACCCCTGACTAGGTTGATACATCACATCGTATCCATATCGTAATTGCTTCGATCGTCGCTCATGGTGTCTTCTACCAGACTCGAGTATTTACAGACTGCTGTCATGTAGCCTGAATATTAAGTGTTGTGTGAAACCACAAACAAACAAAATATTTGTTACCTGCCGAACTTGATCCCGTCCTCGATGGTCTCCGGAAGGTCTCTGTTGAGTGTTTCCGGCAGGAGGAGGGCCAACAGGCCTGCCAGGACGGACAGACTGCCAAACACCAACAGAGGCAGGGCGCGGCCGAAGTCTCCTCCAACAATCTTGCCCTGTAAGTTTTAACTGTCTTAACTATTTATGTAAGGTCACTATCGTAAATATCAGCATAATCTGTAGACGACGGAACGAAAGTCATGTTTGGAGTACATCAATTATTTTCAAACACATCTCAAAACAGCCTTTGATATTAAACCAGGAATAACCCTATAGCATATGCAGTATCCAACAGAAGTAAGCCAAGGATGACAATATATGGATGACGTCTTCTTTGAGAGGCATTTAGAAGTTGGATCAATACGGATGAATGACAATTGCTTATTTTCAGTCGTGGGTGGGTATATCTTAGAGATGACACTCGTAACAGATTCTAATTTCGATTTACTTATACACTTACCGCAGCAGTAAAACATATCGGAGTAGCAACCGAATTTGTCCAAACGCCCCAGGGACTACGCTTCAATAAGATTTTGATTTATTCAGATTTCATAGAATTTGGTGAACACATCAAGGATAGCTGATGGTATGCATACCCAATCTACGATATACGGGGCTATCATGCCCCCGACACGGGCCCAGGAGGAACTGGCCCCAGTGGCGGAATGCCGGATGACAGTTGGAAACAGTTCTGAGGAGAAGACATAGATGATGGCAAAACCTGCTGCTGCCCCCAGCTTCCCTATCATAGCGAGCAGAACCGTGATCCACTGTATTGCTGAAATGCAAAGAATAGTGTGTAAATTACAGAAAAGACATTCTTAAATTAAGATAAAGTCATATTAGACAGTGAGGGTGAACGGGTAAGGTCTTGTTACATAACAGAACCAGATATTCAGACTAATACCACAATATAAGAACAAGTCATTTCGCCAATGTCATTGATTCGTTTTGTACACATTTCTGCTAACTAAACCTGATCTGCAAGGTTCAAGAAACATTTTCTCGCGCATCATTTGCTGATGATCACATATCTGGACGTCAAATTTACAGATATTTCTTGCTTTGGAAAATATTCCTGGCCATACAGTTAAACATAAGGTTGACGAACAGTTAATGCTCCTAAGTTGAGAAAAACTATTTTATGTCATAACATAAGTTCTTTGAAAAGCATTAAGAAGTTGGAGCACTATGGGAGGATAACAGTATATGGAAGAACTTCTATATTAGAGTGGGAGCGACGTTTCGGTGTAGGTTCCAACACCGTTATCAAGCAACTCACCTCCTTGTAATAAAGAAGTTGTTCATCCATACATTGTTATCCTTCCTTATGTAATAACAGACTGAAAGAACGAGGCTTCATGGACAAACAGGATAAACCTATTTCCCCAGAAGTGGACATTTTGTTTTCTTACACTGGTCAGCATACAGTATAGTGAAGATGGTTAGGATACAGGAACCACCTCCTATGATCATCATCGCACAGTGTATGAACTTCCTTCCAAGTCTGTTGACCAGTAGTATTGAGAGAGCATAGGCCGGGAACTCCACCAGCCCTACCAGCAGGAAGTTAAGGTGGAGGCTCCCTGCCCCAAGGTTGTCCGTGTTGAGGGACAGGCCATAGTACACCATACTGACCACCAACCTGGATGTAAGTTTTAAACATCGTAAATGGGATATGTCAACAGTAAAATAGTGAAACGAAATGTACAGAATAAGTAAAGTATACTGAAAGCCATTAAAAATGCAATTTGACATTCATACTTTCTTTACTCACACTAATTTCAACATATATAAACCTAACTGGCAGATATGTTTTAAGTGAACATCTGTGAATAATTTCATCTGAAAATGACCAGTCAACAACACCATCAGTGACGCAACAACGACGTCACACAAAGGAGGGGTCACTTGCAGTCAATATCGTGTGTGTCCACCGTGCGCTGCAAGACATGCTCGCAGTCTTTGGGGCATTGAAAGACACACATTTCTCAGGAACAGCTGTTGGATGGTCTGCAGCCTCTGATGGTCTGTGGTCTGATCATGACACCACCCCCTCCAAAACGATCATGTTCAAGGACACAGTTTGGCGCAAGTCTTTCTCCTTTACGTCGATAAATCTGTTGACGTCCATCTGCAAAGGATAAGTTAAACCTGGATTCATCTGAAAAATGACATCTGGCCATGTCCTGTTGCCAAGATTGGCCCCATTTGCTGCCCATCGCTGTCTGGCAAGTCTGTGGCGATGCAATAAGGTTGGACCACGGTACGGGTGACGACACCGGATGTTGAAGGCAGCAAGGCGTCCTTGCACCTTTTCGGCGCTGAAATGACGTTGACTTGTCCCAATTGTCCTCCTTGCCTAATCATCAGCTGTTTGGAACCGATTTCGCAAGTGTGAAACTCGGATATTGCGGTTTTGTCGAGCTGTTATCACAGGTGGTGCACCAGGTCGCGGACGATCAGCAACACTTCCGGTAGCCCGAAAACGTTGTCTGAGTCGACTTACAGTGCATGGATGCACATTAAAGTGCCTGGCAATCATCACATCTGAAGCACCTTGGCTGACCATACCGATAACCTGATTCCTTTCGTCTTGTGTCAAGTGTGGCATTTTCTCAAAGTGATTGAGTTCCACAATTCCTTGTGCTTTTACAGGGCCTGGGTGCAGGTAATGCATGTGCACAACGTGTTTCATGAATGTGGTTGTGTTTACGAGAAATGTCAAAGGTTCAGTTTTAAGTATCAAAGTTCGTGTGAGAGGAATGCTCCGGGACTCGAACTCGAAATGGGCCAGAATAACAGCCTTTTATCCCTACATCCTCTGTATCGCAGGAAAAAATCTTCAATGGAACTTTTGTAAGTTTCAGGACAACAAATACCAATTGCGTTTTTAATGGCTTTCAGTATATTATGGTTTTATTCATTCTCCCGTGAAATCTTATATCACGTTATTTCCATCTCAAATCAGTCCCCAGAATAGCCTTTTGGTTCAATAAAATGCATGTTCATAAAATCTGTAAGTCTTGGACGTTGTCCTTGGAATCATGAATAAAATGTCATGAACAGGGGGAACATATTTTACAATTAATGTATGTACTTTTCACACATCGTATTCCTTTTTTATCGAAAACAGAGCAGAAGTTGAAGAGATGAAAATTTACCATTTGGATGTGAAGTAAAACCGTTGGTATCAGACGAACTTACCAGTTAAAAAATATAATGAGAGTTCGTATGCACATGACCGGATTTGTGAAGAGATGAAAAAAGTTCCCCTTCGGCTTTTCATCATATGTTTCGATCTCTGTCGTCTGCTTCTCAAACAGTTTGTCAGGTAGCTTGACTTTGTTCACGTCTGCTGCCCGTCGAATGATCACTTCTGCTTCGTCATCCCGGAACTCGTTCATCAGCCATCTTGGAGATTCTGGAATGACCCTGCCCGAAACATGGACTATCAGTTTGTGTCTATATATAAATAAACTATACGTCACTGATGCTGAAAAGATTCAAACTGAGGCAAATGTCACATGCCCGTACGTAAATGCCACTTGGAACTTCTGCTTTGGTGAGTTAAAACGTTTTATAGAAAATGAATGTTTTGTGTGAAGGAAGGGCGTCACGAGGAAGCTTAATGAAGGTACATGGGGCTATATCAGAGAGGGATATGATGAATTTTAATGGAGAAGTATGTACAATGTGGATTCTCCCCAACCCCCACCCCACCCTCCCATAAAATTTATGTACAAAGTACGTGACCACCCCCTCGAATGTCATGTACACAATGACACACAACACACACACAACACACACACACACACACACACACACACACACACACACACACACACACACACACACTTTTTAAGCATAATTTTTATATATTCTTATGAACAAAGTAGATGACTCCCTTACCTCCCCAGAACAAAATGGGTACCCTCCACACACCCACATCCCTCGTCTCTCTAAAATCATCATCACCCCCTCTAGCCATAAATTGTTAACGGTCCCTTCTGGTCGTTTAGCTGACTTGTTCTGAGACACATTTCCAAAATGTTACATCTTGGTCAGTAATGTTACATCTTGGTCAGTAATGTTACATCTTGGTCAGTAATGGTCAGTAATGTTACATCTTGGTCAGTAATATTACATCTTGGTCAGTAATGTTACATCTTGGTCAGTAATGTTACATCTTGGTCAGTTTTCTGTTTTTTTTCCAAAGGTATATGTCTGTTTAGCTACACTTGGATATCATCTTGCACTCAGTTACTTTATCTTCGACACAATATTCAGCACTGACCACCAGTATACGAGGAAGATGCCAACAGGGACGGCCATGGCTAGCTCCAGGGTATGCCAGTCTCGGATTAGGTAGGCAGCTCCAGATAGGATCGTCATACCGACGGCAAAGAACACCTGTACCATCACTCCAGTCCACACACGTTTAGAGGGTCCTACTATCTCCATGGCTGGTGTACAGGCAAACAGATATCATTGAGTAAGTTCATCGTATATCAGAAAGACTTAAATGATCATAATATGACAATTATCATAATAATTACCCTTTAAGGGCCATTCGTTGGTATATATTTTTTGTCTTGATATTGAAATACTAACTTGAGATTTAATGATAACATAAGTTACAATTTCAAGGTAATGATCATTCAGTTTCACGATGATACTTGGATTTTGACATTGCACAATATCATCTCGGAATTTCAAAATACTAATTAAGGAATATATCTTATAGTGTACATGTTTTGTTAGTTCGTTACATTAACTTGAGATTACAGGTACACTAAAACTTATTACACTAAAAATATAAACAAATGTCCCTGAAAGGCTTCCGTATAAAATGACTACTGATTATTTAACATTATCTATGTCCTTTTGGAAGAACAAAAGCAGGGCATCTATCTATCACGCATGTATTCAGGACATGATTATTCTCATCAACTGCCAGTAGCCTAAAGTTGGCTTGAGAATATTTTGAATTATCATACTGAGAAAGTATAATGTCAGGTATTTGAATGAAAGGATTTGTCACAGACATCATTGTAGAAGGGGCGGTTGGGTAGCCTAAGACCTGGGTTCGATTCCCCACATGGGTACAATATGTGAAGCCCGTGATATTACTGGAATATTGCAAAAAAGCGGCATAAAACCATACATAGTCACTCACTCCTTGTAGAATGTTGGCTACATCTTTAAATATTATGATTAGGTAGAGACTCTACATGTTCGGTGTCGACGAGATGATTATGAATTACTCCGTGAATCTGAAAGTAAATGGTTGTACTTGACCGTTCATGAAGACCTAACAAGCTACTAACATACGTAGTCGTATTTGCGTGTGACATTTAAAGTCTGTGTTGTCATCCTCAATAGACTTTCAGTACAGTAGCTCAAATTTCAAACTGGATCTATTATGACATAACAAGCAAGTGACCAGCTTATGAGTAAAAGTTAACATGACGTTATATATTCGTACAGGAAAATAGTACTGCAATCTTGATAAAAGCGACATAAAACCGAACTCACTCACAACCTCTCACGAACAAAATATTTGCATTTGTTTTCAAAACATTTAGTTCTATTCGCATATATACATGATGTAACTCAAATATTATACAGAAAACTTTATCAAATCACAATATTGAACTGTGATACTTCAATATGTTATTTCCAGCTCAACCTTGACCGACTTGGCCGTTTAATCATTTGACCTCGACCTGCGCATTGAGAAACCATGCCATTGTTTGTGCCGTTGGTGAATGTCTAACACATGTTGTGTGCTCGTTGACAGGTTTTCCAAAGCTACTACTGTTTAACGCATTCTTCGCCAGCTCCAAGACATTGCAATACATCCGCATTTTTATTAGATTTTATACAAGACAGAACATGTCAGCATGCACCATATGACAAAGACAAATGTCAATATAAACTTTGTGATTCTGCGTCATGCAAACGTGAAGGTCAAGGTTAGAGTTGGTCTTCAGCAAGCCCATGTTTACGCCGTACTCAGCACTATTCCAGCTTTATGGCGGCGGTCTGTAAATAATCAAGTCTGGACAAGACAATCCAGTGATCAACATCATGAGCACCGATCTACGCAATTGAGATACGTTGACATGTGTCAACCAAGTTAGCGAGCCTGACCACCCGATCTCGTTAGTCGCCTCTTACGATCAATTCTCTAAGACCAATTCTAACCCGGATCTTCACGGGTCTGGACGAGGTAGAAATGGTCGTCGTTATCATTACTGACCTATGACGAAACACGTGGTGAAGACTCCGGCTGTAGAAATTGCGTTGAAGAAGCGGATGATGACGAACATGATGAAGTTGCTGGACCAGTTGAGGTATGATTCCCCCGATGAAGAGGGACATAATACAAAGATAAAGAGCCTTCTTCCTCCCAATCCTGCAAGGACACAAATCGTAAACGGATCGTAAGTTGGATTTTACACCACAATATAAAATATCCCAACATTGTCACGTCGAAGGACACCAAAAATGGGCTTGACACATTATACCCATGTGGGGAATCGAACCCAGGACGTACGACGTTATAATTACTCTTATCAGAATGATACAGAAAGTGATAAGGTAGTCTCGCCTTCGTTCGTCACGCTGAAGACCTGGGTTCGATCCCCCACATGGGTACAATGTGTGAAGCCCATTTCTGGTGTCCCCCGTCGCGATTTTGCTGAAATATTGCTAAAAGCGACCTAAAACTAAGCTCACTCACTCACAAACTGATAATATGTCAGATGCAGACTAGCGCAAGTCTGTTGACGAGGTTGACATGTGGGAATGTTGGCACAACAAAAGCCGGAGCACCACACACGAGGATAAAGTACGAATATGCTCACCACATAGTTTTCGGCAAGCCATACTGACAACGAAAAAATAAGTTGAAGGATGGTGTTTACTGTTCAAAGAAATATATCCTTGTCCTTCGTAATTATTACCGAAAAAATTCAAAGTGGCCCTAGCCTGCATTCACTCACTGGCCTTGTTTACTATGATGTCATCCGTGTGCACGTGGTGTGCATTTAATATTGTGAATACTATTTCACTGCTACCATTATTAGTTATTATTGTTGTCGTGTGTACCATTGTCTCACTCTTTTTCTTGGTTATGTTCCTGTTGTGGTTGTCGTGTTTACTATTGAGCGTATATTGAGCGTGTTTATTACCATGCTGGGCCCCGTTTCACAACGCTCTCGTAAGCCTATTAGTAAGATCTCGTAACTTTTCTCGTAGCATTAGTACTTCATATGTTACAGTATAGGAGGCACGAAGGTTACGAGAAAAGTTACGAGATCTTAGGCTTTACGAGAGCTTTGTGAAACGGGGCCCTGGTCAGATGTACAGTGGTGCTTGTCATGGTAACTATTGTGTGTTAATTCTTATTATTCAAATCACTGTAGGGGCGGTGGGGTAGCCCAATGGTTAAAGCGTTCGCTCGCCACGAAGAAGACCCGGGTTCGATTACCCACATGGGTACAGTGTGTGAAGCCCATTTCTGGTGTCCCCCGTCGTGATATTGCTGGAATATTGCTAAAAGCGGCGTAAAACCATACTCACTCACTCACTCACTCACACACTCAAATCTTAGTGTTCGAGTACTGTACTAAAGAGGCCACTGACAGAATGCACAATCACAATTTAGACGGATTATTTTCGTATAGAAAAACATGGAGGAAATGCATGCAAAGTTTACGAGCGTTATTCTAAGTCCTCATTAACAGATTAAATTTACACGTATTACGATACGTAAGGTAATATTGCTGCAGTTATGTATTCCTTAAATAAGTGCAGTAAGGGCACACGAACAAAAATAGTACTCACCTTCACTTTTGTGACACGGCGGTATAATGACCTAGTATTCTTATGCAACAGAATACATTACTATAGTTTGGCATGAAATGCATGTGAACCCGGGTTTTGTAAATATCTCTTCATCCAATGACCCAATCGATCTCAAACTGTGCAAGTGGATGTTTTGTCAGACAACCTAATCACATTGTAAATCACGACCGATTTTATGCATTTGTATTAAAGAATCTGTCTATGTAACTGTCAACAAAATAAACAGCAGAACGCAGACTGCTTGCAGAGGGAGGGAGCCAATGACCTGTTACAGCGGCAGTATTGGGTCATAAAGGTAAATGCACGTGCAGTTCATGGTAGTTACCTGTGCACTGCACAGTGATAGACCGTTTGGATCATTCACATTACTATTGTGTGTTTATGCCTACTATTATGCTGGTCAGGAACAATTGTGCTCTTTATGATAAACTTTACTTTTGATCGACACACGAGTGAGTGAGTGAGTTTAGTTTAACGCTGCACTCAGCAACATGCCAGCTATATGGCGGTGGTCTGTAAATAATCGAGTCTGGACCAGACAATCCACTGATCAACAGCATGCGTATCGATCTACGCAATTGGGAACCGATGACTTGTGTCAACCAAGTCAGCGAGCCTGACCACCCAATCCCGTTAGTCGCCTCTTACGGCAAGCATGACTTACACATGCCTTCACATGACCTATACTCACTTGTCACCCAGGGCTCCAGCTGCAAATGCTCCCAAGAAGTAACCTCCCATGAAGATCATCTGAGAATGTGTGGCAAGGGTGGCGTCGTCACACACGAAGTTGAGCTGAAAGAAATATACATAAATAAATTTAAGTAGGTCCTAATTTGTCTTTTGTTTTGATCATTTGTGGTTTAATGCCACGCTCACAAATATGCCAGCTCTGTGGACGGCGGCTTATCGACATTCAAACCGGAGATTGATAACATGAACCCCATTCCACGCCGTCGGGGGTACTATGACGTACATTTACCCAAGTGAGTTTAGTTTTACGCCGCACTCAACAATATCCCAGCTATATGGCGGCGGTCTGTAAATAATCGAGTCTGGACCAGACAACCCAATCATCAACAGCATGAGCATCGATCTACGCAATTGGGATACGTCAGCGGGCCTGACCACTTAGTCGCCTTTTATGACAAGCATGGGTTACTGAAGATCTTCATGGGTCCTCAAGATATGAATATCGGATACTGGAATCACTTATACTGATTTGTGAATATCGAATGCCAGATTAAAAGTCTATGGGTTGTGAATATCGGATACAGGATTCACTTATATACAGATTTCTTTGCTAAATTCTATATTTTATTGCATATCATTCGATTAATATTTGAACAGTGCTATATTGATTTGTTTGGGGGGTTTCCACCAGAAACGTTTCAACAAACAATACACAGACGTGTCCCACGAAAGTTATTGGTCACCTCCGTTGAGACAGTGGATTCGAACACAGACTTGTCGTAAACCCACTTCTGACAGCCGACCACGGTACGGTTGGCGCCTTCGCTTGTGCCGTTGTCAACGTCGTGGTAAATGTGACAGCGGTCAAGCTGCAGTTTACCGTCCCTTGTGACGTAAGGGATGGTAGCGTTGATAAGACGAGCGTGGCTCTCAGACTGTACGTTGAAGGTGTCGTTGTCGTAACCGGGTATGGCGCACCTGTACGACAAAAGACACGTGATGCAACATACACGTACGCAGCTAGCGTTGCTCCACCATCCGTGAATACGGTTGCTATATCCAGTTAACTGGTCAAGCTCTGAAGTAAATCAAGCGACAGAGATACCAGCCAATAGTCAGACAAATTAGCCATAGACTACAATATTTGAAATATTTTCTAGAAACATGTAAAAACCTCGAGGTCTCTACTTCTACTTTACTACATAAGACATCTCTGCTAAAAGTA